TTGAGAAAAGGGAGCCGACTGGCCAGGGGATTGATGTTATGGAGAGCGAGTTTTTATAAAAGAAAGAGAGGCCTAGAAAGAAAACCTTTAGGAAGAAGGAAAAACCTAACTTCGGCAGGAAAGAGGAAAACGAAAGGGGAGGGGTAAGCTTTATATAAAGGAGTTTATAAAAAGAGGGATAAGAAATAGGGAAGAGGAAATAAAAGGATATGGGAAAGGGGAAGTAAAGAAAAGGAGAAAGGGAAAAGCGAAAAAAAAAAAAAGTAAACAACTCAAAAATTTCCTAAAAAGAAAATTTTCAAATGCAGAAGGAGGAATGAGAAAGAGTTTTTTTACAAACTATGGTGTATCTAGAACTTTTAAAATAATGAGATTAACAGTTCTCTTATAATTCAGATTTTTTAATTAAAGTAAAACTACTGTAAGTTAACCTTTTCTATATTAAACTTTTTAAGACAAAAAAGAAATCTTGAGAAGAAATCTATACTTCTTAAACAAGTAAGATATTAACTTGAGTAAAGTTGATAACTTGGTTGAAATAAAGAGATAACAAATTAGAGGGTTGATAAAATAAATTAGTAAAAAAAAGAGAAACCTAAAAAAAAAATCTTTAAGAGGAAAAGAAAACTGTTTATTAGTAGAAAAAAGAATTTGAAAAAGAGAAAAAGAAAGAAAAAAAAAAAATAAATAAATTACTCTTATATTTGTGATTATTAGATATATACAGAGTCTCATAAAGAAAAGGTTGGCCATCCCAAAACTTTTCTAATTTTTGTTTCAAACTGTTATTATATATAGATGTTGGTCTGCTTATACTTTTCTAAACATGTATACTTTTTTTTGATATATTGTTAGACAATTAAAGGAATCTTATATAGTATTAGTACATCTCAAACTCAATCTGCTACAAGCTTTCATCTTTAGTAGAAGAAGTGAAGTAAAGGAAAAAAGAGATAACATTTTTTAAAAAGAAAGTTTTTGACAAAGTAAAGGTAAGTAGAAAAGAGTTTCTTAATAATTAATATTATAATAATTAAATAAAAACTATTTATTATAATAATTATTAAAATAAATTTAAAAATATTTTATTATTATTAAATTTTTATCAATTTATTATTTATATTTAAAATTATATAATAGATGCTATTTATATAATTAAGTAAAAATAATTTGATTTTTAATTTTTTTAATAAAATTATATAATAATATATTGTTTAAATTTGGTTTTTGATTTATTTATTTATAATAAAAAAAAATTTTTTAAAAAATTTATATTAATTTGTAAAATTATTCATCTAAAAATTCTAAAAATTTAATTAAGTTGTTAAGTAATTAATATTATTATAAAAAATTTTTTTATTAAATCTCAAGTTATAATTGAAAAAACAAATAATTTAAATTTAAATCAAGTTTAAATTAAATATTGTTATTCTTAAATTTATCAAATATAATTTAATTAATATAAAATTTTATTAATAAGTAAGAAAATATTAAATTCAAATATATAATTAATTAATAATTAAAAAGAATTGTTATTGACTTTGTTAATATTTTTTTTATTATCAATTTCAAGTTGTATTTTTTTTTTTTGAAAAAGAATTTTTTAATTGATAATAAAAAAATCAGTTAATTTTTATATTAAAAATATAATATATTTGTTTATACGTATATATTGTTGTTGTTTTTTAATATAAGGATTGTATGATTATAAGCTTGTTTAAAAAATTTTTTTCGGAAATTTGAAATTTTTAACATTTATTTATATAATAATTTAATTATTGAATATATCGTACATTTAAATAATTATATTATTTGAAATAATATACTTTTTCTAAAATTTATTCAATTATAATTTTATTTTTGTTAACAGTATTATAAAATTAATATGAGCTATTAATTAATTGTCATATTCTATATACTGTACATAATTTTATCTTTAAATAAATAATTGATTTATTGTATTGGGTTATAAATTTAATAAATAAAATACTAAACTAATTTAATCGATCTATTAAAATTTTAATATTATCAATCGACTTTCAAATTCTGTTTCTCAAATTCTTGCACAAGCTTTGCATTTTGTACAATATAAGTCCACGATTGGTACGCCAGTATCGATGGGATTAATACCCAGAGTCCATTGAAAAACTGTTGCACGTGTCGCGTCAAATTTATGAAAATGAGATTTGAGTATACGGTTAAGAGAACGGCATTTCAAAAATAAAATATCTCACCACAAGATAAACCCAAAAATACATAAAACTCTCTGTGTGTAATTTCTGGTTCCCAGTCAACCATTCTGGGCAAAAAGTTATCCAGCATCCGTAAATATCACATATACATAACACTAACTGCCAATAGTGTCTTGACGGATGGTTGGTGACTAGTAAATAAAGAACGTAAATAGACAATGGACCGAGAAATATAGATGTGGGAATTTCTACAGATACGATTGTGGGATCGGAAGTCAACCATCGACTATCAGCCTTGCCGTATTCTTTCCCTTCATTAAGAATAGAAGGATAGTGATCGGTAAAATTTTCATGAGGCGTTCTTCCTGAAAATACTTACACATATCGGCCATGATCCCATTGCTCTTTTCTACACTTCCCATCACCGACATATAAACAAACGGTCCTTCTATTATTATGTGTATTAATGCTTCCCATAATAGCCATATAAACACAAATCTTTCAAATGATGTGGATTTCGTCTTGGCGTTCTTCGAAAAAGGCAAGAATATAAACGAACTGATTAAAGAAAATAAGAACAATAGCGTAACTGCAAGAAATGAAAATATGATTTGTCGTAATTCTTCAAAATCATTTTTGGATTGGAATTCGAATGAAATAGAATCGTCCATGATGCATTTATTGTTTCGTTAATTTTATAATAGAATTTTTCGCACCACATTTCTGATCTTGAATACATGCATTGTATAGTGATACAAAATTGTTAATTTCCGTGGTACAGAAAATTAGGACGTTTATCAATTTTCATAGTAAAACATAATATATGAAATTTTTTTTTTTTTTTTTACAGAAACTGTTCTAATTGAGAAAAAAAAGTCAAGATTTTTTTTCCAAGTATTATATAAAATTACGTTTTAGTGACTGGGCCAATTAATGATCTTATATAATCATATGAAATAAAGATTGTTATATAAACTTTTATATGGCACGAAAGTTTCAAATTTTTACTATATTTTATTATAAAAAAATTAATATGCGTCCTAATTTTCTGTCACCCGTCTGTACGATGAAACTCGTTTTACTAAATCGCTCTAAGAAAAAATTTTTTTTTTTTTTTTTTTTTTTTTAATACACAAAAACACTGCAATTCGAACAATACAAAAATTGAGTCATGTCTCTGAAAAAAACGCCCATCTTTAACCTAAAATTTGTCCTACAATAAATTAAAAGGAATTGTGATCAAACAATTCGTCAGGTGCATATTTTGGAGAATTTAATGGAGAAATTATGTTGCAAAATCCAGATAGAGAATGAAGCAACGACTAGAAGAATCATCGGTATTAACGAAAAAATGTAACAATAGATTACGAGTTTTCTCTTAGATAAGCCATTAAAGAAAATTTGACATCGGAATGTCGCGCGCAGTATAATTATGCACTAATTTAACGTTTAAAATTATTGACAACTCAATTATGGTTCTATTATTCGTATGAATGAGACAACATCTCGCGTGTAGTATTGTAGAAATTTCTCTTATAGTGATTCAGTATTGAAAGAGAGGAATTCTCATCACGATTCCTTCGATGGTAATGGACAACACCGATTCTGGGTGCAAGTATCGTCTTCCATACAACGAAAGAGACATGAGGATTCGTGATCACTCTGCAAATAAAATTCACATTGAGGCTACTACTACTACATACTCTTTCCAAATAACAAAAGAAAATTCCGATTCAACATACCATTTCGTTAGCGGTCAGCTCCTCTTGACTAACATCGCCAGGATTTGTTGCTTTCATCACCCACTTGTCTTTTTCAGCATTTTCGTCAAGTTTCGCAAATTCCGGTTGTATGGTAATAGAGTGGATATCGTACTTGTGAAGCTGCTTTTTAATTCTATTGGTTACTTTTACGTAATCCGCTGATGGGGACATTAGAATGTGAATTGATGCAATACTTTTCGTATCCGAAAGTTGCCAAATGTGAAAATCATGAACAGAATATACTCCGGGCAACTGCAAATTAGAAATCAAACATAATAATTGATAATAAGTTGACTAATATCATCACCATTTCATATAAATTTGATAGTGCAATATTTAAAAGGTACCTTTTTGATCCAATTCCGAATATCATCCAAAGGTATACCCGGGGGTACACTTTGCAATAAAATAAAAGATGCGCTTCGGACTATGAATTAATTTAGTCAGTTGCAAATTTGCATGTTACAACATCAAGCATAAGATGATTTAAACATACCCAATGGCAGTGCATTCAAGAATATGATAATGCAAATAAATAAACTATAATTTTATAATAATTAATCCAAATTAAAAGTAAAATTTCTAGGATAAAATGTAGTATAGGTGACACCATTAATTATTAACAATGGAATTAACAATAGGTGTCACCTATACTACATTTTAATCAATTCCAATTGGAAATAGATGACACACCTGACCACAGGATCGGCATAATGTCTCCACGAAAATGAGGTGAACGAAATAAACAAAGCAGAAGCTATAACGCCAATATTACCCAGGGCGTCTCCCAATACATGCAAAAATACTCCATGCATGTTGAGATTTTTTTTGTGATGATGCTTCGAGTTTGAATCGTGATTAGTGGCAATTGTTGAAGAATTATCTTCCTCTATTGTATCGACTTGTCTTTGAACAGTTGCATGAGCTGCCAAAACAACTGAATGTCGTGTTGCTGCCGGATGAACATGTATTTCATCTAACGGTTGGATTGTGTCTTCGCCAACTTCAATCGGCGTAGTAGAGTTATGTGAATGGCTATGTTCTATAAGAGAAAAAGCTTTGTTTGTCGTTTCTTACTTATCATAAAATATTAAAGTGTTTGATTAACGGTCACATACCGTGAAATAATAAAATTCCTATAATGTTTGAAAACAATCCGACTCCTCCCACTATAAGAATCAAAATCGGATTCCTAATTTCTGAATAAGTCAGATCGGTTTTAAAAAATCAAAAATCAAATATGCGAAGGGCAAAACCCAATTTAAAACCGAATGACAAACCTTCATACTCAAAAAATCGCTGTATGGCGTCGATTAACACAGTCAAACATAAAGCAAGTAAAAATACCCCATTTACAAGGGCACCCAATACTTCAGCACGCTGCCAGCCATAGGAATATTTTGGAGAAAATTTAGTTCGTGAAGCAAGCTTTTATCAAAAAATAAAGCAAATTAGTATGCCATCAAAGTTATACGTATATAAAACGAATAATATGAATACCTTGATAGCGTATAACGCAACTACTAAGCTCATGACATCATTTAACATGTGAAAAGAATCTGCTACCAGAGACAATGACTTCAACCAGTAACCAATAATGATCTCGACGAGAAAGAACACCGAATCGAGTACCAACAATATCTTGATTCGAGCCTGACGTGACAGCTTTTTCTTCATGGGGGATAAGTTTGTAGTTTGGAAAGGGTACTATGCTTTAGAACAGTTATTTATTTATTTTTATGGAAATAACTACAATAATTTCAAGTTAAAAGAAATAGCGGGTTAAGACTTCCATTTTTATTAAAAAAAATAGGTAAATGTAATAAATACATTTTAAACGAGAATTTGTCATTTGTGAAGACAATCAGTACGCGATGATCGTAATTCACACGCGTTTTTACTATAATTGCGTCTGATTCAATTAATTACGTCAAGGGATCTACAAACTTTATCAGATGATTCTTTTTGCACTAAGTAATTAACGATTAGCATGTAACAAACTAAAATTTTCTGCATGTATTTTTTTTTCCTTTCAACACTGAATCAAAAAATACTATCCAAACAGCGAATAACCCATTATTGGATTTGAAACGCACATATCAATATGAGACAAAGGAATAAAATTTTATAAAATTAATTTAATATCGTTTTTTGCTTTATATAATTAAATTACTATCGGATAAACTTATTAAAATTGACCATATGCAGAAGGTAGAACACATAAGCCAATCATAATCATCAATTATATTATGGAAGAAACAAAATTTGGCGTAAGAATAAATTTGAAGAGAAACAAACAAGAAATTATAGATGCTCAGTCAAAACATTAGTAAAGTATATGATTCAATGAAACATGACATACTTGGCCAAGTTATAAACCAAATTAAGATTTTATTCACAATTCAAGATATTATTATGAAGTGCATTACAGAATGTACAAGTCAAGTAATTATATAATATGGTTTAACAGAATTATTTTTTACAAAACAAGACATAAATGTAACAATTCTGATCTTGACTGTGCCATGGAACCCATATTGTATCCTGTAAACCAGATATTCCAGAAGGTATCTGATTTGCTCCTAACAATTTGCAAGCTTGAAACATATTTCCAGACAATTGTCAAATATATGTATAGTGTGATTCTGATCTCTGATAATGTAACATGCCATCAAGTACCACTAATTAAAATATTATGAACTAATGTAATCAAATTAGTAGCATAAGGTCATAGAGTATATATATCTTTTTTCTTTTGTTTTTTTTTATTTACTTTTTTATTCTTTATATTAATTAAGTACATATGTTTTCGAAGATTAAATCCAATATAGATATATGTATTTTATATTTATTATTTATGTATTTTATATTGTATAAAGCCAAAATATATAAAAAAATACTATTTTGATCTTAATAAAGTCCCAACTCTGTTGGTATTAAAATTATAATTACTTAAGTTTACTGTTTTTTTAAATTATTAATAATTTATTTAAGACTTTTACAATTTAATAGCAATAAATTCAAAAAACTTTTCCTTGTAAAAAAATCCCAAATAAAACTTTGCCAAAATAGATATCACCTAATTTGTAATATTTATAAAACTTTTCAAAAAACTATAAAAACTTTTGCTATAGAGAAAAAAAAATAATCTGTTGGGACAAGTTCTTTTATTATTATCACAACTACTATGTTTAAAATATTTCTAAGAATCCTTATATTCAGAAAAGAACCTGGAAAAAATGTGAAAGTTTGATTATACCAAACAAAAAATATTTTGTATGTTCAAAGAATTAAGAAAGAAAGACAAGCAATTTATTATATTATCACAGGATTTGAAAATACTACTCTTTATTGATTTATTAACAAAGTTAAGAATACTATTACTATTACTTTTACTAAATGGGACCAGTTTAAAAAAGAACTTCAAGCTGTTTTCGGCCCTATACTATTAATAACATCTATATTACCAACTTAAAAATCTAATCCAAATAGAAATTATATAAGAATATGTTTTCCAATTTAGAAATCTAATAAGTCAAATTAATAATATATATCAATTGAACCAGATTGTTTATTTTATAGAAAAATTAAAGTCTGTGTTCAAAATGAAAGTAAGTTACAAGTTTCTGAAAATTCTTAATGAAGCTATTCACATTGCGAGCCACTATAATACTGTCATGTTTAGCTTAGGATAATTTTTAAAAGTTTTACCAATTAAGAATATCAGTCTTAAAAAAGATATCAATAATTTAGACCAATTCAATAAAGTTAAATCATATCGAAACTTATAGAAAGTCATCAAGTAGCAGCTAGCATCAAAAAAAATAAATAAAATGTTTTAATTGTAAAAAAATAAATTACTATGCCTGAAACTGCTGATCTAAAAAAACAAAACTAAAGTCAAAGTCATTATAATAGAAGAACAACTTATTTTTTTGAATGCTAAGTTTATCCATATCAAAAAAAATTGAAAACAGCTATTCTGTTTTAATGGAAAAATTAATAAATACCTTGCTTAGATTCTGTTGGATAGTAGGATTTTCAAAAATTTTATTAATAAGAAATTTGCCAATTAATAATAACTGTTGAAAGAACCAATCAAACTCTTTACTATAAAACTGGTTAATGACTGAAAGAAAGAAGTTTCCATTAAAGTAAAGATCAAAAAGTTGAAGCTAGACTGATATTGCATCTCTGAAATTTTTGTTTAAGTTTTAAACTTTTAATAATACAATATTATTTTAGAAAAATTCTGATTTTTTCAAGCCAATCCTAATATTAATTGAAAGACTAATACCTTATTTTTTCCAAATGAATCATATCATATTATCATTAATGCTAGTTCCAACTAAGCTAACAAAAATTTTATATATAATTCTATTTTTATTTTCAGATATCAACTTGTTAAAATATTTTCTAAAAAAGAATTGTATATTATATATGCCATACAAAAAGGTGCCCTTGAAAAAACCAAAATTACTTCAAAAGAAGTTGCAATCATTAAAGAATTTGTTAATATTTTTTTACCAGAGTTGTTCAATTAGTTACTACCTAAAGAAAAAATTAATTATACTATAGATTTGTTACTAAAAGTTAAATTACTATCAATATATATATAATAAAAATTGATAAATTCTTGATACAATTTGATACAATTATTTGATACAATTAATTGAGTCACTATTAAAACATATAAAATAATTGTATCAGATATAATTATTTTTGAAAATTTTGATAATTGAATTAACAATAAAATAATTTATATCATATGTATAACTATTAAAATCCACCTATTACCTATTCTATATAAAAATGGATGAACTCAAAAAACAATTGGTTAAGCTATTAGATAAAAGATTTATCAGATCAAGTATTTTCTTTTTTAATGCTTCAATACTTTTTATATATAAGAAAAAAGGAATACTATAATTATATATTGATTACTATACTTTTAATAAGATTATTATCAAAAATGATACTTCTTATTCTAAATTAAAAAACTTATAGATTGGTTGATTGAAGTCAAGTACTTTAGTAAAATCGATCTATATTTTGAATATTATCAAATTCACATTAAAGAGAAAAATATATCAAAGATTATTTTCAGAATCATATATAATCATTATGAGTTTTTTGTATTGCCTTTTGGATTAATCAACACCCTTACAATATTTATAACATTAATAAATGATATTTTTCAAAAACACCTTAATGATTTTATTATTATATATTTGAATAATATTCTGATTTACAGTAAGATCAAAGAAGATCATCTGTAATATCTAAAAACTATTTTAACTATTCTAGAACAACATCAACTTTATATCAAGATTAAGAAATATAAATTACTATATTTAAAAGTTGAATATACTAGATATTATATCTTTGTCAAAAGAATTACTATGAATTTTCAAAAAATTATTACTATTCAAAACCGATTTGTACCTACCAACATATTAAAAGTTAGATTCTTTTAGGATTAGCAAGTTATTATCAAAAGTTTATTCAAGAATTTTCTACTCTTGCTATCTCCTCACTATTTTTCTATATAAAGATAAAGAGTTGTATAGAATTCTTTTAAACAAGAAACATTTAAAAAACTTAAAAAAGCTCTTATTATGGTCCTGGTTTTGCTTTTGTCTAATTCAAACAAGTTCTTTACTATTATCATAGATACTGTGATCAAAATCTGTTTGATCCGTATCCGAGTGATAGTTTTTAGAAGGAATTAGAGATTATATAGAACAGTCCGTCGTTCCAGAGATAATCTCTCACAAATATTCCAAGGT